AACGCTTCCTAGTGAAAGCCATCGTATTTGAGATATGCCCAAGATTGCCCAAGATTTTGTGGGGTTTTACCGAATAGTAGTCCTGTAAGTTCTTCAGTTTATGTATCCTCTTTGGACTGTGAAAAATAAACTATATAAATATGCGGCGGCACAGTATCTCAATGCTTTTCGGCAATTTTTTACAAGCGTAGCTTGAGCAAAGGTAAAGTGAGTGGCATGTGCACTTTATATAAAATAAATCGGTTTCTGCACTCAATAATGTTTTCAGCCCGCCCAAGTTCCCAGCCGTAAAATCGGCTCCATTTTAAAGGCAGGATTGGCAAATGTTTAAAAGGTACAATTGCCAAATATTTATACGCAAAATGATGTTTGAAATATATATTTTTATAATTAAGAATTTAAAAACTTAACTCAACTATACAACCAAAATTTTACTTTTCCGACCAACCTACCAAATGAAAAAGAAGCGACCAAATTTGGTCGGAAAAGACCAATAGTGGCAACACTGCTTACTTATGATTACACGTGTATATCTTGGGAATCGCTCCACCAATTTCTCCCAAACTTGGTGCGGTTGTTGGTCTTGGTACAACATACCAAACAGCTGAAAATTTTTTAAATCGGAAAATTACCATGCCCAAATCCCATATAACGGTAATTTAGAGAAATACAAAATCTTCGATAAATCAGTAAATACCGAAGCTAATTTATTCAAAATTGATGTTTGCAATAATTCTTTGGCAAAATAAAATTTTGGGAAATGGGCCCACTTATGATCATATATATATATATCTCAGTCACCGTTCGACCAGTATGTTCCAAACTTGGTATGATTATTGTGCTTGCCGCTGAAAATTATTGAAATCAGACTAAAATTACGCCCACTTTTTATATAACGGTAAATCAGAAATGCTTGAAACTTCGATATTTCGAAATTTAAGGACGCTGAAATACATACTAACCAGTAAATTGATACTAACCATAATCCCTTGAAAAGAAGTTGAAATATTTTGGAATTTTGGAAAATGGGCGTGATACCGCCCACATATAACTACATAAGTTTATCGAAGATGTTTCAAATAAGGATGCACCCCTGGTTACCATCTAGCGGTAGTTTTCTAAAAGGTTTTTTTCATCTATACTTGATACTTGCGCCGGGTATCTAATGTTCGGCTCTGCCCGAACTTAGACTTTTTTACTTGTTTTAGTATATATTTTTAAAGTTTTCATTAAAATACAATTTCGCGATGGGATCTGGTTCTTTATACAAAACTGATAATGCATTTTCAATGACATTTGTACCACCATTTTCGACCAAAATGCCTTTTTTCGAAAAATGTAACAACTCTTGAGATTTTCTAATAAACAAAAAAATAAATATGAGTATATTCACAAATCAGAGTGTACAGAATGCACTTACACAAGAATACATATCGCACGTTTAATAATAAAGAGATGTAAATCAAAATTTACGTTTTTGGAGACTTCGCAATGCAATTAATAGTTGCGGTCCAGATGTTTCACGATTTGCAGGTTTCACAGGATTTGCAGGAAAAACTGTTTTCTCCATTAATAAGCGTTATGGAAGGTGGTCACCTGGAACGAGTTCCTGTAAAAATTCCTGCAAATCGTGAAGCATCTGGAACGCAACTAATATGCTTGAGGAGGAAAATATATTCAGCCCAACAGATGACTTAGCTTCCCAAAAATGGCGAAGAAATGTGCCTTTCCAATTCTGTATATTATTAAACGTGCGATATGTACATACGTACATGTATACGTATGGACGTATACATATATTGCCCTCGTGCTGATTTTACGATTACGACCCATATTTTACAATATAAACATATGCAAGTGTTGCAGTTCGAATGCCATTTAGACTCAATAGTCCTCCGAGCGTTGACGGCTGTATCTGTATAGCACAGTTTATAAATGTTATTCAGTCATTTGTATGTAAGATGCTGACAAGGTTGTTGTTGTGATGCGGTTGTCTTAAAAAATGAAAAATAGGTCGTAAAATCTGCAGCGGTGATGATAAGCGTGATTGTACAGAAATGCGTCCGTGGCGGTGGCAAGCGCGTCAAGTTGGCTATCGTCAAAGCTTCTGTCAGAGTATTTTCTGCAACAGTGAAAATATAAACAATGGCAGTTGCAAAAACAATAAAGCAACGCTATAAATTGGGTTCACAGAAGCCAATCCTTTAGCGAAATGAAATTGAAAAATTTCCCATTGTGCTTTTTCAATATCGCTTGAACTGCGTGGAACCCAATGTAAATAAACATACGTACATATGGTACATATGTATGTGCAAATAAACATGCGATGAAAAGAATAAATGGGAAAATTTGTTGTCGTTCTTCGCACTGATATGCGGTTAGTCGGTTAAAATAACTCACGCTAATAAATGGCCTTCATTTACTGTATACATATTCAGACAACATAGAAGGCTTTATTCAGTGTTATAACTTTTAGATTTTATTTATTTATTTTTTATGGCTCTTTTGAACCTAGATCATAACAATATTTAATTATAAGCTTAATCTAGTATTTAAAAATGCAATACTTAAGCCTAATAGGATTATTTATAAGGGAATTCATTTATTAAGGGAATTCATTTATATACATACATTTAAAATTGCATATACTTAATGCTGTGTGAAAAATCATTAATATAAATATTAAATAAAATAGCTGCTAACACTGAATCTTGTGGTAGCCCAATAATTACTTTTCTTTCGTCTGATACCGGCGATCCAATCGCTTTTTTTTGCATACGATTCTTTATAAAACTTTCAAACCAATCAAGTTCGATACCCTTTATTCCTATATTGGACAACTTTCTCAATAGTAGGTCTTGATCTATTGTCTCAAATCTAAGAAAACAGCAATCATGTATTCGTTTTTGCTAAGTGCCTCTTTCCAGTGAGCAATTACCAAATTAAGGGCAGTTCCACATGAGTTCTTCTTGCGAAATCCAGACTGTTGTGGTATTAATTTGTTATTAGATTCGAGGTTTTGTACTAATTGATTTTTTACTACACATTCAAGTATTTTTTCATCATTTGTTAGTGTGTTTGTTGGTCTCATCTCATCAGCTTTAATGGTATTTTTAACCTTTTCTATTCGAACGACAGTGGATGTTTTCCAAGAAGTTGGAAAAGCACCATTCTTTAAGCTCTCGTTAACTATAAGGTACTGCATCTCTTATGACTCCTTCAGATAAAAGTTTTCTTCCTCCAATTCTATTATTGAAAGAACCAGAAATTTTAATTACTTCATCAGTTTCTATTTCTTGAAATTTAAAACTGTATGCGAAATTCGGAAGTATAGAAAATTCTTTATAGATAATTTCAATGTTTGAAGAGATCTCTGTGATACTGTCTACAAAGTAGTCATTTAATGCTTGTGCAATATCATTTTCGGTTGTGTAAACATTGTCGTGTATCAAAACTTTATTTATGCTATTTGTTTCCTTTGACATACTTAGGCAATTTTTCAGATGTTTCCACATTTCCTTGCTATCTCCAATGTTAGTGGTTATTTTACGCTCCATGTATTTGACCTTTTTGACTTTCACCAAGCGTTTATATTTATGCTTAATACCATTGTAGTCATTCCAATTCCCTGTTTTTAAAGCAATATTATAAAGATTGTACTTATATTTATTAAGGTAAGATAACTCACTATCCTACCATTTGTTCATGAGCTTAACACTTATTTCCTTCGTATACGTTAGAGAACTCATTGCATAAGACAAAATATCTGTTAAGAATTTGGATTTTTTATCGACATTCAACCTAGAAAATTAACTATAATTGTACTGCCTTAAAATGTGAACTAGATTTCCACTGGAATAATTTTCCCACGATACTATAGCTTTTTTCATTCTCAGTTTGTAGGGTGTTTCATGATCAGAGATCTGATGCATTACCATTCTTTTGCATGAAATATTGTTACTGTTTGTAAACAGCAAGTCTACCATTGTTTCAGCATCCTCTGTAGAGGTTGCGCCAATCACGGTACAGGTATTCCTCTCTCAGTGAATTTGACAGAATCGTTGTTTGTATGACGTCACACTTGTGCAACTTGTTTACGTTTTCCTTGCAACATTTTTTCTTTTTCCATTCTTCACACAAAAGTTATTCTCAAAAATCCTCTCTGATAGGCGCAATCTTGTATTATATCTTTCTTGGTGTAGAAGTCTATTTTTTGTGACATTGAAAAAGATTCTAGTAGCTGTTTGCTGCAGGTTGTTGTTTTAAAAGATTAATATTGAAATCTCCAAAAATTATAGTGTTCTCATCTGAGTAGTTACTATTCATAACTTCGTTAAGATAACTAATGAAACCCGCATCACTAGAGTTTGGTGAAGGATATATTACATCTAATTGATATTTGGCAGTAATATTTCCAAACAAACTAAAAATTTTAGAAAACTAAGTAAAATAAGAATAAAAAAAGAATCAATAGAGATTCCAAAAATTAAATAATATAAAAAAAAAAAATATTTATTTTTTAAGCAATAAAACGTAAAAATAAAAAGAAGAACTTTACTTAATTTTAATGTTCAGACGGACAGACGGATGGACAGACAGTCACCGCTTAATCGATTTCTCTTTTCATTCTGATGATTTATGTATACATATGTCTATATCTATCTCGATTCGTTTTGCCTGTTACAAATAACCGTTATGTGAAGAAAGTTATAATACCCTTGTGCACAAGTGCGCACGGGTTTAAAAATTATAATAAAAAACCTGAAGAAAAAAATATGTATGTATGTATGTACATACATTGAAAACCATAAAAAAATGTCCCTGCCCCAGGACTTCAGCCTCGGACATCAGGAATGACACGCTAGTGCACTACATGTCGGCCAGTACATACATATCTGTGTTCTTATGGAATAGTAGCTTATGCCGGGAAGTTGGCTTTAGTATAATGCAGCATTCCCTTTATTCTTTAAAGGAGAAGGATTTTTTTAGATGCACGTTTATTTGCCAAAAGTTCTTCAACGGCTCGGCGCCAGTGAGTCATTCGCAATCGTATGCTGCGAATGCCGCATTATACAAAAGCCAGCCTTTTGACATAAGCTACTGTTCCATACGAACAGATATATGATTTGTTTTTGGTGTTAGATGTGCTTGCTGTATGCATAGAAATTGCGCGATAATGGAGGCTTTGACCGCACCCACAACAACGATTACATGACGTGCGTTTGCGGGTCCAATGGCGTCATCCACATCACTGTTGCGTTCAGCGTTGTAGTGATGTATCAAAGAACGGACAGACAAGAAAAATATTTTTAAATCGTCAAGCTAGGTTAAAAAAAATTGGAAATCTAAATTATGAGAATTCTGTTACGAAAGATACTGAATCAGGCCTGTATGCGTTGCGGCTGCCCAAAAGGCTGAAATATGGAAATATGCAAAAATGCGCGTGACTGCCGGGATGACAGTTTATGATGAAGTGCTTCACTATAAAATGACATATGTAGGTCTAAACGCTCATGCTTCTAAAAGCTGTTTGTAGATTAAACGGAAACTATAAGCGGGGTGGCGGTAACCTTTTGCCGATGATTTGCATTTTCTAATTAAATTGCGGTAAAGTGAATTATGATGGTGCCAAAGTTTCATGGCCATGCCAGCAATTAGTATATACGTACACACATATATATATTTATGTGGAAAGAAAATGCGTTGGTTATAGACGACATTGACATAATAGTTGCGTTCCTTATCTCCCAGAAATAGTCAGAAAAAGTCCGAAGTAGTCAGATTTACTCCAAAAGGCGTTCCTTAACTCGAAAATGACAGCAAAAATGAGAGAGCAACAATTAGTGAGAGTGACTCTCTTCAGTCCGAAGTAGTCAGATTTAGTCAGAAGATTTTTTGCTGGCAAAATCTTGACAAGTGTTAAACTCAACTGAATTTAAATTAACGGAAATTAAAGAATACGCAAAAAGTGAGAATAATCTAAAAAGTAAAAAATTTTAAGGTGGAAGGAGGCAAAAAATAATTGATATACATAGTAAGTGTTTATTGTGCTTGTGCTTGTGTAAATGTGTACATTATTTGACGTTAGTTTTGTTGTTGCCATTCTTTGGAATAAAAATTTGGTTTTTTGCGTTCCTTTACTGTTTCCTGTTATTCTCTTTTAGTGAGCGCATTTTGTTTACGCTCTGGCACTTTGACACTTTTCAGATGTTAGTCCAAAAAGATAAGGAATGAACCTAATACAAGTACACTTAGGTATTCTCTTATGCAAATTTGAATTTATGCGGTTTTTCAAACCATTTTTTCGCTGTAGCGATTTTGGTTTTTTTGAGAGTTGTTATTACTTTCTTCCAGTGTGTTAGTGACAATACTTCCCCACTGGGAAAATAGGTAAGCACCTTACGAGGTAAGCCATGTTTTCTTTCAGTTTTTAGTACCAAAATTGTCATCATGGCCAATGTCATCTACTAGTAAAGCACAAAATGAACACCTCCAACGACACATTACGTTGTCAGTTGCAAAGTAACGTGCAGCCGAAGTTATCTCCAAGCGCCGAACTACTCCGAGCGACTTCTCTGCATTACACGTAACTTACTTTGTAAAGCGGCTCAGAAGTATGTCTGATACCAAATGTACATTCTAAATTCCTACTTACATAAGGCGGCCATGCCTTTGTAAAAGTAAGGGACGTTCGGCAGGGAAATGGTAATGACTGCCAGGTGAAGAGTAAGTTGCTAATAAGGTATTATTACGTGCTCCTAATTCCTACTGGGTCTGATAACTAATTTGTCTTTGTATTCTTACATTACTCATGATTTTTGTTTTTGGTTAAAATACAGATAAAATTTTATTTATTTAACCTTTAATTAGCCGCATAAAGAAAATCACACAATAGGAGCGGTCCTTATCTCCCAGAAATAGTCAGAAAAAGTCCGAAATAGTCAGATTTAGTCCAAAAAGCGTTCCTTAACTCGGAAATGACAGCAAAAATGAGAGAGCAACAGTCAGTGAGAGTGACTCTCATCAGTCCGAAGTAGTCAGATTTAGTCAGAAGAATTTTTTCTGGCAAAATCCTGAAAAGTGTCAAACTCAACTGAANTAGTCGCATGGGAACACCAAAAAAGTGTTGAACAAAAATAGTTTTACAAACGCAGTGTTTATTAACAAATATATTAAAGTGCTCTATTATCGTTAACTTAAAAAAAAAACACAACAATTTCGACTTCAAAATTAAATTAAAAAAAGTTTAAAACTTACCTTTGAAATATTACCACCACTAAGGTCGCATGGGGTCAGTACTCATGGGAGTAGCGACACAAGTGTACGCGACGATGTTCTAGCCGCGTCTAAGTAAATAAAATGAAATGTATATTGTCATAAATATTAAAGCTCCTTATTATAGTTAACTTTAAGAAAGCAAAGCATAACTTTGACTTTAAACTTAGATACAAAGATAAAAAATTACTCAACCGAAAAATGTTATGTAAGTAGTCGCATGGGGTCAGGACTTAAGCGAGTAGCGACACATGTGTTCACGTCGAAGTTCTGGCCGTGACTAATTTACGTCAGGGCTGCCAGACGTTTAGAGTCTAAAATCCGTACAAAGACAAAAAGTGGTGGGTGAAAAATCCGCACGAAATCCGTACGCTCAAATTTGTTTGGCGAGCAAAAAAATAATAATCGTTTGTACTTAGGTGAACACAGAAATGGGACTTTGCATAACATCAAATAAAGCAGCACATATCTCCATTAGTCCTATTTATTGATTGCTTCACAGACAACTTTATTATTTTTCTGACTAGAACTTTTTAACAAGCAGTGTGTTCTTAGTTTATTAGTTTATGTACATGCAACAAAACTTTTCAGGTAGGTTTCCGACCCTACCGAGTAACAGTATAATGTTTGAAGCGATGGTTAAAGTAAAAAAAAAATTAGGTTTTTTTTTTTAATTTTACGCAATAAAACTTCCCAACGATCGAAGTCTACCAATAGATTGCTATACATCATTTTAAAGGCCTATAAATCCTCTTCTCATGTTTGATTTTTAAAATCGGGTCTACCAAGCTTTTAATAGATAAGTTCCTCAAGTGCGAAAATAATGCATTTTTTAATAAAAAAAAATGTAGGCTTCAGGAACTATAAGAAACCTATGAGATATGTGTTAAGGAAAATTTAACAATATGAAAGACACTCCGCAAATCCGTAAAAAAATCCGTACATCTTAACGGAAAGCTCAAAATCCGTACGTTGAATCCGTACAACCATTTTCACCTCTACAAATCCGTACCGTACGGAAAAATCCGTACATCTGGCAGGGCTGATTTATGTACGCCGCGGGAAGTTAGGAAGCTGGAAAGAGCGCGAGCACACTCCAAGCACTCCAAGACATTTTCTTTTCAGCTTGAAATGGCTCTGACCTCATGCGTCTAATTAAAGGTTAATTAATGTTCAGTTTTACATGGAATAAAAGTATTGAAGAGAAGAAATAAATTGTTTTGTTTTGCTTAAAATTGCCTTACTGGATATTTTCATGTGTTTTTTTTTTGGAATTTATTACATGGAGTATCTGAATTTATGCGGTTTTTGAAAATACTGGAACGCATCCCCTGTTTTTGTGTGCAAGTAAAGAACTTTTTTATGCGGATTTTTTTTTATGCGGCATTCTAAGGAACGCATATACTGCATAAAAAAAGACCTAAATTTACTCTTTAATAAGTTTGTAAGCCGCGAAGCTCTTTAATTTTTGAAGTGAAAACTACTTCTGATGAAAAGCTACCGCGTGGCCAAAAGGCGTTTCTGTAGTTACATATGTGCCTCTAGGTGTGTAGATATGTATGTCAGCGCATAGAACTTAGAGTTGAAGTCAAATTGAAGTGGTTTTGTTTTTGTTTTCTTGGCTTTGCTCGCAATCTTAGTCGCACTCGCTGAAATGTTCGCTGTCTGTTTGGTTTGTTTACGACCCGTTCGTATATTTTTGAAAAAAAAAAATTGATTTTCTACGAGCGACTTGCGGAAACATTAGTACATATCTCTCGTGATAGACCAGATTCTAGTAACTTGGAGAAAACTAAGGTTTTGTTCCACAAATGTGCATTATAAAAGTTTCAGCATATATAGGAAGCACCACATTCCCTTTTCCAATACCTCCGACATTCCTCTATGAGTATGGGCCTGATTTCATACGAGAGATGGGCGCGTGAGTGATTTTGGCTCACGTTTACGCACGCTGCTGAGCTAGCTGGTATGTTTAAAATTTGAAAGGCTTCTAAAAAGTTGAAAATATTACCGCATTAATGTCTTCAAAATCTGTTTCCGCAGATTTATCTGCTGTACCTTTGAATTCATCAAAAGTGCATGCAGTAAATAATGCTGATCTCGTTTCTAACAAAAAAATTCGCCTTTTGATTGCCCCTTTCTCCTTTCGTGTTCGATTCTAAATTAAAGGCAAATGGTGAGGAAATTGTGTGTTTGTTTCTTAAAATGTCACACTCTTGTAAGGCAAAAAAGGCACATTCTCTGCCCCGTGAAGCTTTGTCAGGGGAGATGGTTCCCCTGAAAACCATATGATTGTTTAAAACGACAATATTATGAAATGCGTGAGCTGGACAAGCACAAGAAGGTAAAAACATACATACAGTGGTGAGTGTAACATCAAATACATTTCGCACCGGGAAAGGGCAACATATTTGGGAAGAAACGAAATCACCGTTAGTTAACCAGCGGTAGTTTACGATTTTATTTTGGTTGAAAATGCTCATATGTACATTAGAGTGGTCCAAAAACAGTAAAGTCGACATTTTAATGCCGCCAAACCCTAGGATTGTTCTACACCGAAAAGAACCCCAATTTTTTATTTTGAAATAAAAAAATATTTATTTTGCATTTTTGCACAACCCTAATGTACATACATACACATCAAGCCCTAACTGCCAAAGAGATGTAAGTGAAATATTTGCATCGGAAGTGCCACGCCTTCTTGAATTATCGATATTAGAGATGGGCGCTAAATATTCAATTTTTAAGGCCGGAAGATGAAGATGAAGATGAAGGTGAGCGGAACATTAAATACCCGGAGCAAGTATTAAATATATGTATTTTTAACTTTCCGAAAGCTACCTCTACATGGTAAGCCGGGGTGTATCAATTTTGAGTAAATCAGCGTCATCAGCTTCGAAATATTGAAGATTCAAGCATTTCTGAAATTTACCGTTTTATGAAAAGCGGCCGTAATTTTAGTCAGATTTCCATAATTTTCAACGTTTTGCTTTTATGTGGCAAGCACAATAACCATACCGAGTTTGGTACAAATTGGTATGACGGTTACCGAGATACATATATGTGATCATAAGTGGGCGGTGCCACGCCCACTTTCCAAAATTTTATCATAAACATATTTCTTGGTAAAGAATTGTTGCAAGCATCAATTTTGAATAAATTAGCTTTAATAAGTATTTACTGATTTATTGAAGATTCGAAGAATAAGGCGGCCAATTTCCCGTAAAGGACCAGTACTTCACTGGTTAAAATTTGACTGGTCAAAATTGGACGTTTGCTTGCATCGAAAATGTCAGCTTTCGACCAATCCCCAAGGAATCGGTCTAGAGATAGACGAAAAGTACAGTGTGGCAGTGACAAGGTGGTGTTGTCTTGCAACTCAATAAAACAATAATAATTAAAGAACACCACCCTGTAAATGTCCCAATCGCTTGGTCTGGCCTTGATACAAAGTGCACATTTGAACACGCATTTACATGCGTGGCTGTAGCTCAGTACGCAGAGATGCTTGCCACTATTTGTTAGCTTTCCGGGTTCAAATGTCGTCAGAGGCAATATGAAAAATGCATCTGTGAAGTGCAGAACGCATTCTTACTCCAACCAAAAAAATCTAAAAAATTGGAATAGTCCAGGACTATCTTACGGTCAGTGTTGATTGGACCGGTCCTTTTCCAATGACACGCCAATGCTAAAAATGGCAATTGAAACCATTGGCAGNAGGACCAGTACTTCACTGGTTAAAATTTGACTGGTCAAAATTGGACGTTTGCTTGCATCGAAAATGTCAGCTTTCGACCAATCCCCAAGGAATCGGTCTAGAGATAGACGAAAAGTACAGTGTGGCAGTGACAAGGTGGTGTTGTCTTGCAACTCAATAAAAAAATAATAATTAAAGAACACCACCCTGTAAATGTCCCAATCGCTTGGTCTGGCCTTGATACAAAGTGCACATTTGAACACGCATTTACATGCGTGGCTGTAGCTCAGTACGCAGAGATGCTTGCCACTATTTGTTAGCTTTCCGGGTTCAAATGTCGTCAGAGGCAATATGAAAAATGCATCTGTGAAGTGCAGAACGCATTCTTACTCCAACCAAAAAAATCTAAAAAATTGGAATAGTCCAGGACTATCTTACGGTCAGTGTTGATTGGACCGGTCCTTTTCCAATGACACGCCAATGCTAAAAATGGCAATTGAAACCATTGGCAGAGGAATTATGAGGGACTAGTGCTGGTAAGAATAGAGACTATCTGAGGGCTAACCTAGGGTGAGTCTGAATCGCTGCAGGGCTAATAGTGTACGCATACTAAGACAAAAATATCGCACTGGTATTGGTAGCTCTGTCGACGCTGTGCACCACCCTGCAAAAATCGTTGGACCATGTAGTCTATTTGTGGTATATTGGAGTACTTACAAAAGTGTTCCTCTGTCATGCTGTAGTGGACCAACTCGTGTCTCTGCACCAGCTAGCCGATCACTGCTCGTGCTTTATCGAAATATGATTGAAGGTGAGCATTTGAAAGCACATTTGTATGTCTGGCTGTAGCTGAACACGTGCAGAGATGCTCGCTGTTAATTGTTAGATTCCAACATGTTCGGGTTCGAATGCCGTCAGAAGCAGTGTTGCCATTTTAGCCGGTTTCCGGCTAGATTTAGCCGGTTGCGATGGCAAACAGCCGGAGAAATTTCGATTTAGCCGGCTGCCGATTTGTTAGCCGCTTTGCAGAAAAAAATTAGCCATTTTTAGCCGATTTTGCTATTTGCCTTGTTTTCTTAAATTTCAAATATGTATATATGTTTCCATTTTTGACTAAGCGACCCAAAATCTGTTAGAAATGGCTACTAGCCTTATCGTGGAGAAAATTTTCATGTCAGGCAGGATTGTATGAAATTGGGCCGATTGCGCTTATTTTTATTTTAAACGAAGAAGGGATTTTCTTTATAAAATGACTCTTACAAATGTCTTAATTTTAAGTGTGAAGTTTTATTCGCAAATTTAGAAAATAAGAAACTGTTTCACTGTTAAGACTCTTAAGATGCGTAGGTAGGTGTTTGGATATAGTGCCAACAAACAGAATAAATATTCTATCATTCTTGCATGTAGATATTGTCTTCCCAGATAGCGCATATTCAATTCTACCTAATTTNGCAAGCATTATTTACACATATGTATTTTTTTAAACAAACTTTTTTGCTGAGAACTTATTTAAATTCAAAAAACCGAATGCCAACTTGAATTAAAGGAACCAACACTGAAGTGAGTCAAAATGAAAATAAAAGAGCACAAATTTCTATGTAAAGCAAAACTCTCTGGGAATCCTACGAGACATCTGCCGGTCATATGACCGGTCATCTAAATGGGAGATCTGCAGCCTTTTGGCATCATATTTTACATCAGAATTGAAGGGATTTCTGAAAAATCTGACCAGTTCTTTTGTGTAACTATGCTTTTGCATCCCTTGTCAACATATAGCCTCGGTTGATGTTAACTTAAGGTCATTGTTTTACTGCCTTAAAATTGAAGGCAAATTTTTACAGCGTTTTTTATGTGTATTGGTTTCTATTTGAGTGTATTGAGAATCGGTCAGTCTGAAAAGGCCTTGTAGGGAAGANAATTAACTAAATTAATTAAGTAAACAAGAATTAAATTACATTTTTCATTTTAAAATCGCTCCAGTTTGTAAATTTTTAAATTGAACGAACTTGTTTATTCAAATTATCGTCGACAAAAAATCCAGCCATGTGCCACAATCATATTTTTCCTAATTGCAAATTCTTGCTGGCAAAATTTTTTTCCGGCTCGAATTTGTAACTTCTCTCCAAGAAATAGTCTTTTTACTCGTGATTTATTTAAATAAAACATGTGAAATTTAGTTGAAACATTTTAGCCGGTTTAATTTGCCAATTTAGCCGGTTCATCCAAAAAGTTCTGGCAACACTGGTCAGAAGCAACATGCAATTATTAACCTACTTCCCAAAAAGGAGGTTATCAGTTCTTTGGAATCTTTTTTTTAATGTATGCTACCGCATAACTTTGGACCACGTCAACCGATTTTGATAATTCTTTTTGCATCGGAAACGTAGTGTCTCAGAAGAGGTCCCATACCACAATTGAGAGAAGTAGAGGTTGCGCCCATCACGGTACCACTATTCCTCTCTCAGTGAATTTGACAGAATCGTTGTTTGTATGACGTCACACTTGTGAAACTTGTTTACGTTTTCCTTGCAACATTTTTTCTTCTTCTTCCATTCTTGCTCACGTTTTGGCATTTCTCTCTCGCAATTGCACCAGTGTGACGTCACACAAAAGTTATTCTCAAAAATCCTCTCTGATCGGCGCAATCTTGTATTCTATCATTCTTGNATTTCTATCTCGCAATTGCACCAGTGTGACGTCACACAAAAGTTATTCTAAAAAATCCTCTCTGATGGGCGCGATCTTGTATTCTATCATTCTTGGTCCCATACTATTCTGGTTTAGATCCGATCAGTGGATCATGAAAAAAAAATATATATATATACATATTTTTTAAGTCGGTTTTTTTTGCTAAAAATTACTTGGTTAATTTTTGTTTTTGGTTTTATGTATATTGTGAAATAAATTATATTATACATGAATAACTGATGAAAAATTTTCGTTTTGTGCGTGGAAAATTTAACATAGTAAAACCAACAGTGGAAAAGAATGGTATGAGTAATATTTTGGAATTCCAGTAATACTAGAAATAAATTGGGNAAATATATATATACATATTTTTTAAGTCGGTTTTTTTTGCTAAAAATTACTTGGTTAATTTTTGTTTTTGGTTTTATGTATTGTGAAATAAATTATATTATACATGAATAACTGTTTGAAAAATTTTCGTTTTGTGCGTGGAAAATTTAACATAGTAAAACCAACAGTGGAAAAGCATGGTATGAGTAATATTTTGGAATTCCAGTAATACTAGAAATAAATTGGGTGCCGGAAAAACTTGCTATGAACGAGATGAACACAAAAATGCCCAACCTCGGACTGCATATGGTCGCCTGGGTAAAAGATTGTTGTAAGCGCCATTTTAACAATTTTTAGTTCTAGATGCAGTTATATATTTTGAAGTGAGGTCTTTCGATTGGTATTATCAGTTTTTAGATATCTCCTTTAGTGTCCGATATATTGACTACAACTTTTTCGATAATTTAGTAAAAATTACGTTGGTGGTGGTTAGTCATATTAAGCTAATTAATATCTTAAAAATCGCGTCCTCCATTTTTGGATATCTCTTTTTGTTTCCAAGATATTGAGTAAAAAGTATCGTTAATTTGGTAGAAATTTTGATCACATTTTGTCGTATTTCATACAAAGTGGCTGCCAAATTGTGGACAAGTGACGCTTACGACAAAATTTGACTAAAGAACATCCTTCATAAACTCAAAACTAATTAACAATAAACATTAAAAATTAAATAAATTTACGAATCTTGTGAACTAGTAACATTTTCAGAGACTTTGGAGAAGGTAGCTTCGCGTTTTTGAGAAATTGCATTCCAAAATTCAATCGCGATTTCCCACAACCTGCCGAAATTAACATACGACAATTTTTTACCCAGGCGACGATATGTTGGGATTCATACGGAGAAAGACGATGATAACAGTGACGATATAAATTTACAGGTTAAAAAAAAGGCCAAAACTGTGGATTTTTAACTTCATTTATTTTTTTATAATTATTTCGCTGTTTTTGTAATGTCATACCATATTTGTTTAAGATAAACGAAAAATTTATTTTATAATAGAAAACATTATTTTTTATTAAAAATTTCACATAAACACTTATTTTGCAATAATGCTTTTTTTGTACAAAAATTATAAAATTATCTTTGTAGCATAATCCAGCATAAATCAGCATGTACATGAGGCGATTTTCTTAACGACTGTACATCCCTTACAACGAAATCGCCATTATAAATTGTGTATCAATTTTCAAAAAAGCGATAAAATGGCTTTCAACTTTTCAGGCGATGTTGAATCGCTTACAAAATCGCCTCACGTAAATGCTGCTTAACTTTTACAAAGACACAGGAATAAAATATGGATAACTCAGCTTCAAAAATAGTAAAACTCAATTTTTCGATGAAAGATCATACAAAACAAAAAGATAAAAATTAACATCGAAAATTAATTCCTCCACTCAAAAAACTGTAATATGTATATCACAATATTTTAGATTAGATGTTAGAAATTTGATCGAATTTTACTCAATTTTCCTGTATACAGGATCACCAACTTTAAATACGCATAAAAGAAACAACAAATCTACAGGCTAAAAATCCTTTTGGGATTATGTTATGGGATGTGTACACTTTCGTTTACTTTTGGCTTCATCAAATATGTGATATTAGAGTTTAAAATATTATACACGAATTATTTACTTATCGCAACTTTAGATTTTACATACTAAGTACATAATGCTGCCGGCATCCTCGTAAAGATCCATGACACCGTGTTCCAGATAACGCTAGACCTAATGCACTTTGACTGATTTTTGGGAAAATTTTAATTTTTTTGTCATTTTTTGTTATTGTGGCTTATTAACATTTATTTCAATATTGTTATTGAGCTTTGTACCACGATTATGTTTTTTATGAAAAATTTAAGAAAAACAACAATGTAACAATGTTATAGCTGATATTTCGGGGATCACCATATCTCCTCACTAGACTTATTTTTCTCGCATCATCGGTGTGAAAAGTCAGAAGTGCTAACCATTGAGCTACGTACTCTAGTTGCTATTTCATTTCCTTATTCACCTACTACAACCAAGTGCAGCTGAATTGGCGCTATTGAAACTTGCAAGCTTGGTTGTTATTGTTAATTCAGTACATTACTTTGCTTTATTGTATGCTTTCGGGCAGGCTCATCCTAAACTATTTAATTGTCCACCGCTTAGTCTTGGTTGCTTTTTCCATTTTTTCATACCGAGCTGTGAGTTTAAACATCCATGTTCAGATTGTTATATTTCCGGCCTGGGCCATGCGAATAAGATGCAACTTGTGTCAATGCATTGGAAATTAAGTTTTGTTCAAAAAGTATTTACAAATTCTTTGTGATTTTGTGCAAACCGACAAAGTTATTGGGCAAATATCACTTTGAAACCATTTTGGTTTCTTATTTTTTGAAGTTCTGACTGTCATATCTTCTGACATACACAAGATTCAAAGACGATGCGTGGTATTTCCACAGGCTGTAAAACGAATATAGCAATCGCCAGTCAGACTAAAAGGTATCCTACGAAAAATTAAGGATAATCGGGATATCTTTCGAATCCTTCCATAGAAAATTTGAATTTTTAGCTCAAATCACTTAGTTATGATGACAGGCTAAGAATTTGGAGAAAATTTTGATGGCTCAGGGATAACAGGTGGCAAGTCCTTCGAAAATTTTCGAAAATTTAATTTTTATTCCAGGACGCGATGGAACATATTTTTTCGATTTTATGACTTTTCATCAATCAATTACTATGATAGGACCTGGAAAGTCGGTGATTTGAAGTTGCCCTAGATACAAACTATTTCGGTTATTTGTTTTGTTTTAGGACAACATACAACATATTTTTGAATAGTCTGCTCTCCTACAAATAACAAATCCTGATTGAAATTTTACGCTGAAATGAGCTAGCGAATAGAAAGAAGGAGTACCACGAAAACACGTAAACATATCGTGATTGATCACTAGGAACATTTTATTTTTTGTTGACTTTTGTTGCATACTAATTATCAGTTTTACTCTGTGAATCATATTTTCATTCAGACGAAAGATCCAATTCTTTTAGTTAATACCTATGACTTCTCTTTCAATGGCCGTTTCCTAAGTTTAGCTGAAGTTCTACAACTTATTGTGCCCGAAGCTGCATTTAAGCGAACTTAATGATATTGAAATGAACACAGAAAAACAGAAAGAGATAACAAAGGGATATGCGTTAGGCTTCTAATGAATTTTACGAGGTTGATTTAAGTTTTAATTTAATATATTTGCTACAAAAAAAGTGTGTACATATATTTATATGCAATACATATGTATATGCATACATACACATTATTGCTACACAGGGAAAAACCTCTTACTGAATACGACTTGACATATCAATACGAGCTGATTTTATTTCGACACTTGCGCATTCATATCCACGAAAAGGCATACTCACCTGCCTTGAGCATTCATTTGTACGTGCTTTTACTTTTCTGCTAAAGTAAATACGGCAGTGCTTTTTGGTTGGCAATTACCTCGTTCAGCCGTTGGTGTTTCAAACTTTTTGTTGATAACTCATACACACATATGTATGTATATGTATTTTTGTTATCCATTCAACGCCGTACTTTAATTTGCCTCTGGGTATAACACTGAATGGGTTGCAAAGTAGAATGTAGAGCACAAAATTATGTGAACCCAATATTTCAAGGACTCTTGAAAACTGCCATTTAGGCAACAGCCGGTGTTTCCAGCCCATTGCTACTTCGTGCAACCTCGCCTATTTTGAGCAGGTGTTCTGTAGTTGCATGGAATGCTTGAATTGTAAAGGAGGCGAAATTGCCTGTTAGTACTTGAAACAGTAAAAAAAAAACAGTCATTATGCGCTTTCAGTTACAACTACAACCTTTTTGTAATACAGAAATCTACACATGAGCCGTTTATTTTGAAAGTGGCATACGTCATTTCCTACCGCCTCTGCTTAAATGCTTGGTTACTTCTGAGTGCATCTCCCCTGACGGAAGAAGTGATTTTTTTTTGTAAATCAACTAATTTCAATACTACCTTAAAACAAATGCAATGAGTAAGTGTTTCGAATTTTTATACTCTTTTTGCTCAAAAAAGCAATTTGTGCCTTGGAAGTATGAAAAAGCATCTGTGAAGTCCAGAACGCAGGCGTATTCAAAAGAAACATACTGACGTTGGAGTTGTGTAAACCAAATTCATTTTAAAGTAGTTGAAATTAAATGCAGAGTNGAGCATCTGTGAAGTCCAGAACGCAGGCGTATTCAAAAGAAACATACTGACGTTGGAGTTGTGTAAACCAAATCCATTTTAAAGTAGTTGAAATTAAATGCAGAGTCGAACAGTCGACTTGCTGTTTGCACACAATTCATACTGAACATTTGAAAGCACGTTTTTTAAATGTCTGGCTGTAGCTGAGCGTGCAAAGATTTTCGCTACCATTGGTCGCAGCCAAGAATGTCCATGTTCGAATCTCAAACGGCATGAAATGACTTACGTTACTTTCAGAATAAGCGGTTCATTTGTGTTTAGATACATACATATGCAAATAATTTTTGTAAGCACTCACATATGTACATATATTCAGATATACAATGACTCTAGCAAATGACCAGCTGTTAATTTTTTTAATTCGTAATATTTTTCGATCTAATTTTTGTAGTTTTGGTATTTTCCTATAAAAATATCGACAAATATTTCACCAAAAACATATACCTAAATCACACTTTATACAAAATTTAGAAAAATTCGACGAAATTTCAACTTTTTAATCTGAATCTTTAGAAATTTTTTTTTATAGAATTTTAATCTAGTTTTACAAAAACTGGCGTAAATTTTTTGAAATTTTGATTATTCATGATTATATGAAAAAAATTTACAATGGAGTATTTTAGCCGTTTGAAACTTGATTTTCGTCAGACTAAAATGGGCTATAAAACTGCATAACCAAAGACGTTCAGATTAAAAAGGTGAAATTTTGATGAAAATTTATTTAGTTTTTTTTTAATTTTGTATAAAGTTTGAACTGTGATTTACTTGTTTTTGGTTAAAGCTTGGGCGATATATTTATATATTTAGCTCGAAAAACATTACGAATATTTAAAGAAGCATCAACCAACACGTGGTCATTTGTTTGAGCCACAGTATGTTGAAGATTTTTTTCAGATTTTCACATAATGGGTTAGTATACGAGCCAAATTGTGAAATATAATCGAAAATTCTTTTTTTTTTAAACCCTTTGATAAGACTAAATAAATGAACTACAAAACACTTTTTCATCCCAGTGATTAAATAAAAAAGCTGTACGAAAAATAACACTCATAGTGCGCTTAAAAGTTTAGGTATTCGGACACTATTTTCCACACAATGGTGGTCAAAGACTTATGCAGCTTTGTCATATGTGGATGTTTGTTTGTTGGATGCTGTATCCGTTCGTACTAGC